ATCATCCGATGTTGTAATCGTCCGACGACAAGTTATCAAAATCAGTGTCCAGAAGGTATCTACCGCAGAGGGCTATCTAGACACGCCAAATGATAAGCTCCGCCGCATGTGTCGTAATTCTCACATAAGAGGAGCCGATCTCCTGTGTCATCGTGTCATCCGCATCGCAGGCAAAGTGATTTCTATGCGAGATGTGATTGACCTTGCTTCCTTTCATCGGAGTCAAAGAGGATATCAATGGATAGCACTGAATTCGAATTTGTAGAGGGAAGATCACAGATCTATTGTTCGTGTATAACGTTTCTAGCGTTCGAACATGGATGGTTTCGAAATACATCCGAATCCACGCTGGGTGGGAGAGGGAGAGAGGGAGAGAGAGACGGAGAGAGAGAGGGAGCGGGAGTGAGGGAGAGGGAGAGGGAGGGAGGATGGAGGGAGAGAAAGGTAAATGAGAATGATCCCAACCCCCTCTCTCTGTTCAACGTGTACTAACACTGTTGTTTTCAGAATCTTCATAGTATTGTACTCGATGACGAACAAGAGGGAGGTTCTTGAAAAGTTGGAAGCAGTGAGAACTTTTGATGACCGTGTGACATTGAACTGACCACTCCTCGTTTCAACTTGGTATGATTGCTTCAGTGGTTCTTTGACGATAGCTCAGGGATTGAAAATTTTGTTGAGGAGTTCGCAAAGGTGACGACGGAGAGGAGAGCGGGACAGTGAGGATAACACTGTGAACCACAGGCGCACAAAGACATCTTTGACATGGACAAAGAGGAACATAAGTTGGAGTACATGGACGTTTACAAGGAATTTCAGGGGCAGTTTGAAACAAAGATCGAAGGTCAGGGAGAAACCTTGATCGCCAATCTCATGACCTGCACCTCCTCTTTGTTCCCACCATGTCGTCAACCTTGTCAACCGTCCCTTTCTTTGCCTTCCTCCTCACCACAGCCCTCAGGATTCTTGAAGGACAACGGCTACAGCTCTGAAGATCTTGTGGACGCAGTGAAGGAGGAGCAGAAAACGCATGGAGACGCGGCAGGTCTTCCATATCTCCCTCATCCTTGACCACTTCCTCTTCATTCTATGCCTTCCCACCCTCCTCCTTCCTCGGCTGTCGGCAGCCTCAAGCCAGGAGGTGAGGGTCGAGCGCAGGAACGGACGTGATCGGCGTCATTCTCGCGACGCTGGAGTACGACATTTTCTGCCAGGTCCCCTCGTGCGACATGTAACGGGAGTGGTTGACGGTGCAGCAGATGATGGCAGAGGCGAAGGAGCGGTTCGCATGAAGAAACTTGTACAAGCATCACGACGAGGGGAGGAAGAGCTCGCTTCCTCTGAGGAAAGGATGAGCTTCCTTGTTTCAACTTCACAGCATCTTCTTGATATCTTCCACCTCTCCTTCCTCCAGCTGCAGCGCTCCATCTGCGGCAAGCTGATCATTCCCTGACGTCCTTCGCCAGCTGTAAAAGTAAGACAAACTCACTCTGCGCGACATCCAAGTCCTCCCGCATATGTCCCTGCGCGCTGAGGTTCACTTCCCTCCTCCCCGCGAGAGATCTCACCGTGCTGCTGGTGCCGGTGAGAGGGGTAATGCCGATGGCTTGCACGAATGCGAACAGCACCTGCTCGGGGGTCTTGTTGTACCTGCAGCATCCTCAGCAGTGTCAAGGGGGGGATGAGACTGACTTGTTCGACAAGCTCTTCACGGCCCGAGAGGAGAGGATGTCTGGGTTGGCCGTGAGGGTCCAGAAGCTTTGATACGTGATGCCGTGCTGCAATGACGTCAGCGTCTCCCTCCTCCTCCTCCAGGCTCTCCCCCACTTGTGTGCAGAACTCCCTGAGCTCCTTGTCAAAGTTCGAGTCCCGGTAGAACCTTTGACAACAGTTACCGGGTCCAGCTTAGAGTCAGCTCTACCTGTTCTGCAGGATGGTGGGCTTGACACGCGAGGAGGAGTGAAGGTCTTTCAGTGCTGAGAGGCTATAGCAGTTGGAGATTCCGAGGCTCCTGGCCTTCCCCTCCTCGCAAAGGTTCTCCATCGCTCTCCATACCCGCATCGTCTGCACGTCCAGCGTTAGCGAAACGAAGAGCAAAGCAGCCCTAGATGCCATCTCATGCGTGGGTAGAGGAGAGTGCAGGACGAGCGCGTCGACGTAGTCCGTGTGCAGGTTGGCGAGGGACCTCGTCATGGACTGCACCACTTGTTCTTCGAGAGGAGCGTTGGGGTCATAGGGGATCTTCAGCAGAGTGAGCGACGAGGCAACGCAAACATTCGCAGGTCACATTGTTTGGGTCCTGTCCTCTCACTGGAGTGAATTTCGTCTGTACCCAGAGCTATGGGGGAAAACAATACTGTTAGCAACGAAAGCTAAGAGGACCGAACACAGACTTGCGATCGAGGGATGTTGTGCTGCTGCTGCAGCCTGAGCAAGGCTCTGCCTACTCCTGCGTTCAAGTCACAAGGAGGAGATGCGAAGTTTTCCTATGCAGCCAGGCTTCACATGCCTGGTTCGAAGTAGTGCTTCGGTTGGCAGGCCGTGTCTATCCCTCTGCCATGTTTGTCAGATATCGAAGAGGGAGACAAGTCACTATCCACGAGCAAAGGAAGCAACCACTGAGTGCCTCACCTGAACCCTTCAAGCACGGCCTTCAACACAAGCTCCTCTGTTCCAGCAGAACCAATGTGACACAACTTACAGGTCAACAACACTCTGCGTCGCACCTGTCCTCTCCTTCTTCCATGCAGTTCCGTACACCACAGGAGGCATCTTCATTCCTGTCGCCTGCTTTTCTTCCCGTCACATCCTGGGTCGAAACTACGAATATTTGCCATACGTGTCTCGCGAAATCTTGCGGACTTGATTCATCCGCACCGTCGCCTCCTTTCATGCACAGGGTTCGCTCTGGTCCTCCCCTCGATCCTCTCATGCCCGACATGATCGTCATCGCCGCCATCGCTGCCGCCGCTCCTCCTCGTCCTACCGCCAGCATCCGCATTGTTTGCCTAGGCTTTATTACCCTCATCCACACCTCATCCCCCTCATCCCCACGTTTCAAAATGGCGTGTAAAATAAAGGAGAAGAGGGGAAGAGCGAAGAGGAGCAGAGGAGGAGGAGGAGGTTGAAGGGAAAGGAAGGAGAAGCCACTGGCTGCTCTCGGAGGAGGAGGACGAGTGTGTGACGTGGGCTGTTGGTGCTCTACAGGGATGGGAGGCGGAAGCAAGTTCTGGTCACTTGTTAGCAACAAGGTACGTGTGCAGCAGGCGGAGACTTGTTGACTGCTAGCAGGAGCAGGGGTCCAAGAACGAGCACTCAGAGCACGAGCTTGACTCGCGCGAGCCAACAGGTTTCAAGCAGCAGCAGCAGCAGCGGACATTCACTGTTACTGGCAGGATGTGCAAGCATCGCAAGCACGCCAGGACAGGTCGCCTGCTTCCTCAAGAACAAGAAAGTTTCTGTTGACCTCTCGTAAGCTCTTCCTCCATCACTCTCATTCATCCCTTGTTATACAGATCTCCCAAGGCTCGTCCTCCTTCCCCTTCCTCCCTCTCCCCCTCGCCTCGCTCACTCCATCTCTCCCTTTCTTCCTTGCCGTTCGTCACCCCCTCCCCCCTCCTGCTGTCATGTCATCTCTCCGCTAGGTTCTGGATCGTGCGGAGTCTGCAAGCACTTCATCGAGAGCAGCATGTGCGAAGATTCCTAACCCCCCCTCCTCTCCCTCCCTCCCTCCCTCCCTCCCTCTTCCTCCCTCTCACTCGCACTCTCCCTCTCCCTCTCCCTCTCCTTACTTCCCACATCTCTTTTTCATCTTCCTGGCTGCTCCAACTTTCTCGTTTTCTCCTCGTCTGACTTTCATCGGCATGCAGGAGAAACTCTTCTCCCAGCATCAGCACCTTCGCGCCATTTTCTTCCTGGCCATCCGACTAGCAAGCACCAAGCATGGAGCTGCGTTGCCTGTCTTCGTCGCTGACCCCAAGGACCCTCCACCTGACCTTCGGCTGAAGAATGAAGCTCGTATCCAGAGGTAGCAAACCTCTTCGTCCTCGTCCTCGTCCTCGTCCTCGTCCTCGTCCTCGTCCTCGTCCTCGTCCTCTTCCTTCTCCCTACTCTCTCCCCCCTTCTCCCTCCTCTTCCTCCTTCCTTTCCTCGCCTTCTCCTGCTCTCCTTCCTCCTCCTTCTCTCTCTCTGTCCGTCTATCCCTCTGTTCCTTCTCCCTCCTCCTCTTTCCCAACTGATTCTGTTCCTCCTCCCCTTCCTTGGTCTCCTAGCACGATATATCTGCGTCCTCGTCTGACGCAGCTGCAGATATCACGGGGGAAGCAAGCAGGGAGCGAGGTAGAGATGAGCTTGTCCTGCCGGACCTGACGAGAGCAGGTCGAAACTCCTGCAACGAGCCCTTCCTCGCAACAACAAGTTTGTCGAGCTCACACGGGAGAGCGCGGAGATGGTGGGCAGAGAGGAGGAATAGGAGGAGGAGGAGGAGGAGGAGGAGGAGGAGGAGAAAGAAGGCTTGAAGGACTCTGGGAAGAGGCTTGGAGAAGGAGCTAAGCTTGGGAGCAGCTGGGTCTGATGGGTTTTCCTGTCCTTACGGCAGAGGAGGAGGCAGAAGCTCTTTGTGCTCATCTTGATGGTTTGTGACGCCTTCATGTTCATCATTCCCTCCCTTCGACTCTCTCGTCCTCGTCCTCGTCCTCGTCCTCGTCCTCGTCCTTGTCCTCGTCCTCGTCCTCGTCCTCGTCCTCGTCCTCCTCTCTCCTTTGATGTCTCCCAGCCTCTCCTTCTCATCTCCTCGCTCTCTCCCTCTCTCTCTTCTCTCATTTCCTCCCTCAGCTGCTGGAATCGTCAGCGCTTGCATCTCTCCTGACGGAGACGCTCTGTAAGTCGTACCCCTCCTCTTGTACCTCAGATCTGCCACACCCAACATCCCTGCTCCTGCTCCTGCTCCTGCTCCTGCTCCTGCTCCTGCTGCTTCCTCCCTTCTCAGTCTTTATCATTGTGGTAACGACAAACTGGTCCAGCTGTTACGGAGCGAGACGAGTCATAAAGGTGAACAAGTTTGATCCTTCAGCCCCTTTTCTTCTCATCTCCCCCCTCCCCCCCAAACTCTCGTCCTCGTCCTCGTCCTCGTCCTCGTCCTCGTCCTCGTCCTCGTCCTCCTCGTCCTCCTCATCTCTACCGTCAGTCTCTCCGTCTCTCGTCTGATCGCGACGTCTATATCGAATGCTATGAAGCGGAAGCAATCCGGTGAGCAAAGTATCACTTCTCATCCAGCTCCCTCCTGCTCCTGCTCCCGCTCCCTGCTCCTGCTCCTGCTCCTGCTCCCTTCTCCCCTGCTCCCTGCTCCCTGCTCCCTGCTCCCTGCTCCCTGCTCCCTGCTCCTACTCCTGCCCCTCCTAGTCCGGCAGCTTCTGGCTGTCTTCTGAAGTTTCTCTGTCCTCTCTTTCAGTTCCCTCGGTTTCTCTCAACGAGATCTCATCGCCTCCATGATCCTCTTGGGCTCAGACCTGAACCAGCAGGGGGTGAGCAATGATGATGATAGATGATGATGATGATGATGATGATGATGATGATGATGATGATGATGATGATGATGATGATGATGATGATGATGATGGTGATGATGATGGTGATGATGATGATGATGATGATGATGATGATGATGATGATGATGATGGAGATGGAGATGGAGATGGAGATGATGAGCGTCTGGACTTGATGACGATGAGCGTCAGGCGGAGGGGGTGGGGACGAGCAAGTGCAGGAAATTCATCGCGAGCGTGAGGAAAGAAGGCAGGGATGCGCTGCAGCTGATCCAAGCCTGGAGCCGCGGGGACCCTGATGAAATCAGATGGGAGGGGGAAGCGAAGAGGAGGGAGGACGGAGGAGCAGGAGCAGGAGCAGGAGCAGGGGCAGAGCAGGTAGACTATCTTTGAGTGGCCGACTTGACTGATGGATCTATCAGGGAGGACAAGAGAGGAGGAGGAAGAAGAGCGACAAAGTTAAGCCGAACAAAGACGAGAAGTTCCTACGTGAGTTGTTGACATGCCATCTTCTCCTCCTACTCCTTCCTCTTCTCAACTTTCTGCAGAAGACATCAAGTCCCGTGTGAGCTGCATGGATGGCGAACGTGTCAAGTTGATTGCCAGCATATTCCAGAGGAATGATCTCTACCTTCTCCTCGTCCTCCTCCTTCTCTCCTCCTCCTCCTCCTCCTGCTCCTGCTCCTGCTCCTGCTCGTCCTCGCCCTCGCCCTCGCCCTCCTCCTGCTCCTGCTCCTGCTCCTGCTCCTGCTCCTGCTCCTTCCTTATTTCAACCCCAAACCCTCTCCTCTTCTCCTCTTACCCTGTAGCAGGACTCTCTCCCCTCAGGCTCAAGCTTCTCTCCCACGCCTCCTCCTCTTTCGTCCCCCTGACGTCCTCGGGCTCCGACGCTTCATGAGGAGGCGACTGGGATGGAAAGAGACTTCTCGCCTGGAACTCAAGGTAGCGGAGCAGGAGGAGCAGGAGGAGCAGGAGGAGCAGGATCTGACAGGGAGCAGTTGCTTCCCCTAGTCTCGTCCTTCTACTTTCGTCATGTCGACTACTTGGATTATTTTCCCGTGCGAGTTGTCGGCGAGAGAAAAAGTAGCTGACATGCGACTCATCCAAAGTGAGCCTCCTCCTGCGCCTGCTCCTGCTCCTGCTCCTCCTCCTGCTCCTG